TATCTTTTTATTGTTTTTATTTTATTTCAATTTAAATCCCCCCATTTTTATATAACGACTATCGAGTTAAATATTTGCTATTGACAATATTCTTCCATATTCTCTGTGGGATCGACCCCGACTCATAGTTGGGTAAATATATTGCATACGATCGTTTATATTTCTTTTCAAGAAGTATATTTGAACGTTATCAATCTTCAATTGCCAAGAGGGCCATTACATAATCAAAATACCAAGAGGGCCATTACATATTCAAAATACCAAAAGGGACACTGCATCTTCCAATTCCAAGAGGGCCATTGCATGTTCAAACCACCGAGAAAGACATCTGTATTATATTATCAAAGGTGATAATATAATTGTTGAAAGGATCAGCATCATCATCCTACCAATGAAGCACCATTGCCCTACTAATGGATAAACATCATTCTACCGAGGGATCATCATCATCATCCTATCAATGAAGCATCGTCATCAACAATACTGCATTATCGAGAAAGTCATCATCATTGTAGCATCACATCAATTCATCATCTATTGCGTCAAAACAAATAGAGGCTGACGTCAGAATATTTGCAAAAAAAGTGATGAATTTGGTAAAACATGCCACTTCTCTATATAAATTACAGTTTCTAGTAACAAGTTTATTTCACTCTTTGTCAAGAGCATCCAAGAGGATGAATTCTCAAATCAAACCACATGTGCGTATGATATAAAAAAGGATGCAGCACAACGTGGAACTTTTTCTTAGTAACGAACTGGGACATAGTCCGAAGAGGAGTATCAAACTCTTAGGACGCGAGCTGAGGAGCAACTTCCACCACAATCAAAGCACACCCCTATCAGAAGGCATGTGGGTTTTCTTTGGGTTTATCGATTTCAATTTCGCATCCGGAAAACTTTTCATTCTCACCGGAGGCAACTTTCCAATCTGAGTGACAATACACCAAGAGCTTTGGAAATTATGTTCATGTAAGTTTTTAATTATGTGTGAAGGGCCCCACATTCTTGACTAAGAGGTTGCAAGCTTTCTTTTCATACTCGACTTACTTGTCACTCCTCCTGAACCAAAAGTTATCTTAGCATAATAGATTTCCTTTCCAACCGATTGAGTTGACCTACAGACAACCTGATTCCTGAGGTCTAGGGATATGTAGGTGGACTCCATGTTGAAGACTCGGTTGTATTCAAACAATCTCTCTTAAATCTTATTTTTAAGCATTTCGGTCTCTCCATAATTCGATACCGTGATAACTTTCTGAATTTTATCAGGAAAAAAAAATCATCTTCCAAATCAAGTGTTATTTTGAACTAAATGGCTTGAATTCTCATGTAACTTGAGATACGTAGGAAACTAAATGCTAGGGTCCAACCATAATTCCTCAAAACTCCGTATCGAGCCTTGTTCTCAAAGAGATGAAATGAGTTCGGTCAAAATTGGATTAATCAATCTTCTTTGCCTTGGTTCTCTTTCATCGACCCTACCCAAAGAAGGGGGCCGTTGTTGACACCCAATTTGACCCTATGCAATTCGAATTAAATATCGAGCATCTTTAATTTCAAACAATTTGAAATAATCGTCTTTGAAAAATCCTAAAAATATATATATTTTAAATTCTCTTTCTAATTAGATTTGGTTAGTATTTTTCAGAAATAATTATATAATTTTACATGTTGGTTTATATAATTTTCATCTTTTATATAAATATTTAATAAATAGCCTAAAATAATGTTTAACATAATTACGCATTTAATTCTTTGAATTAGTGAATTTTATAATTTTGTATAATTCGTTCTCTATTTTAAAGCAATAAATAAGTTTTGATAATTATTTTGTCTTGTTTATTAAGAAGCTCAAATAATTAATCGATAATTATTCATCTTATTTTAATTTTGTCTGATTTAGTTAATTGACTCAAATTGATTATACCTAACTCAAATTGGTTAAATTAGCAACTAAATGGCTAATTTTAAACTAAAATGGACCATCCTTTTAATTTATATACTCTCCCACGCTCTCTCTCTTTTCCCTTTTCCAGCCCTCACATAAGCTCCTCTCCTCTTTCTTCTTCCTCCAAATCGCAAAAGTCAATACCAAGAACCCTAATTTCTTCATCCAACTATACCACCCATCAACATTGACAATCCCTCCCTCCATATTCAAAGATTGCAGACCTCGAGCTTGATTTGTTGACTTTGGATTAGACAAAAAATCTCACCCAAATTTGATGCGAATCGGAGCTATGACATTGAGTTCGGAATTTTAGGGGTATGTTTTCCTCTTGCTTGTTTTTCCTTCCATGCTTTCCAATCAATCTCTCATCTCCCGCTCAAATGGCTATTTGAATTCAAACCTTTATTTTTTGCTATAAATACACAATATTGGTGCCATTTTAGAGAGAAGAGAGCGAGCATAGGGAGAGGTTTTGAGTTTGGTTCTTTGGCAATAGACGTTTTACACTTAAGAATTTTATATTTAGCTCTCTCGTTCTAAGTTCCGAGAAGGTCGTCGCTCAAATTTTCTTGGTTTGCCGTTTGTATTCGGATTTTGTGGTGGAAGAATCGTTGCCCTCATTTGCTCGTTCGTCCTATTTGCTGCTCCAAGAAAGGTTAACCCAGTTCCTCTCTTATCTTTCAAGCTGTTCTGTTTTGTTTAATTTTGTATATGTATTTAGATTCGTTTATTCTGAAATCTCATGTGTGTAATATTATTTTTCCGATTTTGTGGCCATTTGATGAGTTTTTTGTATAATGAAATTAGGCGTATGTGTGTTTATTCCTTGATTTTGGGTATTGTTAACTTAAAAGAGCATATGTTTCTTCCATGGTGGTAAGCCCCTCTTTCGGTTGGAAACCCCAAAAGGCATGAAATTGTTAATTCTTTCAATACCTAACCCATTTGAGATTTTTTTTTAAATCTCTAGAATGGAGGTTTGAATTGTTTTAACCCTTCTATGTGACTTGTGCACTTCTCCACATTTGTTAAGTTAATTGATTTATTACTAAGTTTGAAAAAAATTCCGGAGCATGAGTCCTTCTTTATGATACATGCTATCTCTGACCATCTAAGCTAATTGTTTAATGTGTTTTGATATTACCGTACCAACTAATGGTTTTTGAATCTCGTAGTGATCTTATCTTTTCATGTAGGATAATTTAGTCTAATTCTTTATCTTGTTTCTAATTCAATTGCAAATATTTTGGAATGATCTCGTACTACCATTGTTGAAAT